CTGAGGCCCACCATCCATGCCGACTGTTTACTGTGCACCGGAGTAAGACACACACGTCAAACCGTTGAACAAGCCATGGAGGTAGCCTCCATGAACCAGCAACGTGTGATGTCAGTCATTTGTAAAAGTGTAGGACTAACGTTACCTAGCTCAGTGGATGTCGTCTACGATACAGTGGAAATGTACTTCCAATAATAAGTACTGTCAGTAGGTATGATACATGTACCTAAAAATAAAAATGCTTAAAAATGTATAAAATTATATAAAGCTTGAAACCAGAGAAAATCAATGGTACAAACTGAAAGGTCATACAATGTTTCAATGGGAAGTTACAACCCTTTGAAGTTTCAAAGTCATCAGAGCCTTCTACCCGCCATTTTGCTGTAACACTACAGGCAGACCAAAGTACTCCTGCATTGTTTAAAATGTGGTTCACAAATTGCACAATAAAAATACTTTATTTCTACTTTATTTTCATGTATGACAGTACAGGCCATTTGATGTTGTAGGGACAGTTGTAATACTGCGCATAACTGTGCACATATATTTCCCCATTCACAAATTTCGACGATCGTGGTCTCGTGTTTCCGCTGTTGCATTCTGAGATACATGTAGCTTGATGTTCCCACGCTGCGTGGTGGTGTATTTTTGTTGTACATTGATAGTAGCTGTTCAACATTGAAATCCGCATGAAAATCGGCAGAATTTTGTGCAAAAATGCCAATTTTCAGGTAAGGAACTAGATTTTTCTTGGTTTTAGGGTGAAGGGGGTGTGGAATGTCGTTGAATACATTTTTAATTGATAGAATGGCATTGAAACTACCTTAAACAGCTTACCTCACGTGGGTATAGTACGTGTACATGCACATCGCATGCAATTACAATCAATTTTTATGTTGCGACTCATGCTTCAACTTTTGATCATGGCCTGTTGGATATGTTGTGCAAGTGGTAGTTACTCATTTAATAACTAATAATGATATCTGAAATAATTTTTAAAAATTTGATGAAATTTTTGGGATAGTTTTGCTGTAACTTCAAAGACTTTAGCAAGCAACGTAGTGGGGGTAGAGGTACAGTGTAGTTCCTCCAATGGCAATATTTGTATCTCGATACATAATGGCGATCACTCATTAGTAAGACGCCGCCAACATCATAGTTGAAGCTGTTCCATTATGTATGCTCACTCTCTGCTTATTGAATGGAGTTATTTGCTTTGATTTTAAACATTTTTTGTTTGTTTTTAAATTAGTTCTAAAATCTTTGAAGTAATTGTTTTATTCTAGAAATATTTTCAGATTGGTACAGGCGTACATTTTCCCATCATTTTCATTCCTCCATGACATAACTTTGTTATACTTGGTCAATTATTGTAATTCCAATCCCTGGCTCTTGTGGGAAAGAATGATTGTTAAAAACACTTGGTTTGGGCTGAAGGAACTCTTAGCGACAGGGGTTGTTTCTTGTGCAAATGGGAGTGTTATATTTTATAATCAATTTTATTTTTTTGTATTTTATTATTTTACCAGTATAATTATTATTTTACTATTACAGACTTTGACTGCCTTACAGGTCTGGGTACCATCCATCAAAATGGGAGTGACTTTAGAAGTATGGTTTCTACAAGTTGGCCTCTTCTCTGCACATTCATCCAAAGCTCAAAGTCAACATTCTACAAGTGAAGCAACGGGGAGTACATGTACATGTACAGTACTGGTTGCAGAACCTTTCTGATAACTCTCCTGACTGTAGCTATCGGAAAGGCAGCCTTGAATTGTATACCAATTCGTTATGAACCACTTCGAGTTTGTGGAGACATTGAACTTAATCCTGGACCAATGCCTCCAACATTTCTTGATACGGACCTCCTTCAAAAGTTGAAAACTGCCAACAGCCCAATTTCACCCGTGAACTTTGATTTGTTTAATGGACATATTATTCAGTTGTTCAACTGTCGAAAGCAATAATTGCTTGGAAAATGATGGGGCTCAGCGTTTCAGTGTACAATCAAAAGCACTCATTGGAATGCATAATAAGTTAAAAAAGAGCAACATGGAAAAGATGTGAAGGACCAATTGGAAGTATGGAAATAGGATGTGTACAGTATACCGGTATGTGTTTCCTGAGATTTCTGGTCCACAACCTACATATGAACCCAATCCATCAACGATTGATATCAGCGTTCTGAAAACTTGACATGGTTAAATCACGGAATGAACAGTTAGCAAAGAAAATGAAGAACTGAAGCAGAATATTGAATTCCTATCAAGACGACCTGATGAACAACCGCAGACACTACAAAGGCGACTTGAAAAATACCACAAGTCATAGGCTATATCACTTCGCAATGAGAAAAAAAGCTGGAGAAAGACTACAAGAAACTTTGTTCAAAAAAGGCAAAAACTTGAAGGTCATTGCAATAACCTCAACAAAGAATTACCAGACACAAAGGAGATGTTGTCACAAGCCAAAGATGAGATTTTTAACACTAACGATGAAGCTTTCAAAATCAATCAGCTTGCATGAACTGAATCTGTTTGCCCTGAAGAAGGCACTCAGTTACCGAAAGCTCAGCAATCAGCTCAGCATGATCCGGTTCACCTTTACAGCAATTAATCAACTTTTGGGGAGAGTAGTGAAAGATTTCTGCCCAATGGGCAATATCATGACTTACAAATGGACAGCAAACTTAAACAACAAACATCATCATTACCCAAACACAATAAGTTACCAGAGAGAGTGTTTGGGTATCTGGATTTTTTGCGAAAAAAGAGACCAAATGTGAATTAAAAAAGAAATGAAGCACAAGCTACTGTATGTTCACTTTTAATAAAACGGCAAATTATATAGACGCACTATCAACTGAACAGTTGCACAAAAATATCCAGTCAGTCATGACGAAAAGAAAAGAATTGCAAGAAATGGTAAAAAAACGGGTAGAAAAACGACACGAAGCCCTACTTCAAAAACAAAAAGTTAAACAAAAAAACTCAAACACGCAGAGCTGAACAAATTCAGAACCAGGGAAAAACTTACATCAATTATTATTGATGCTGGGCTGTGGCAATCAAGAGAAACCGTTTATACCAAAATGCAACAGTGCAAGTGATCGAGAACGCTTCAATGCACTAAAAAACAGATACAAAGTGGAAGGAAACTTCTGCACCAGTACTTGCCCTCAGACAAGGGATTCATATTTTCAAAAGGGGGTAAGGAAAATGCTTGGACAGAGTTACAAGAACATTTGTTCAGATTTATTGATGCTGCTCTTTCCCTTGCAAAAGGACTGTTTCTAGAACAGTTCAGGATGAATCATCTGTTGCCATGCCCTTGCTTGTTGGAAATCGTGTAATTCACTACTTTGTTGAAATTTCAGATGAGAATGATCAGGAAATTCGATATTCTGGTAAAGTGATTAGTCATTTCCTGGGTTTTCCTGACTGGTTCAGCATATAATTTAAGGATGATGATGATGTGTGTAGTTATCAGCTGATCAAAGATTATCAAGAGCAAAACCTTGAAATTGTTCTAGAATAATAAGTACAGATGTACATGTACAGTACATGTACATCACTGGACACTAGTGAATGTTACAAAGCTCACTTTATTTAATTCTTTGTTTTCGAAGTTGAACCATCACTGTAGTCTCACTGTTGGCAACTCTGTTGAATTACAGTCCGATGAATGGTTATTGGTCCGGATCTCTTCTTTGATATCTTCTGACATTTGGATGATAACCTGTAAGAAGTAGGAAAAAGCAAAAAAAACCTTTCAACGTCAATGAAATGGGCATTCTTTCAATACATTAAGGAAATAAATACCTACTGATAATTACATGTATGTTTTCTGGTAGCATTTTGCATTAATTAGAAGTAACCATGGGTGATAAACAGTGTTCAGTTATTATGTCTTTACTGTTATTCAAACCTTTGATCCTTGCTATATCGTTAACAGTATATGAGGTTCTTATTATATACGGCTCAATAGATATTCCATGTTAATTTGTTGACTTAATTGTTTATTTCTGTAGTTGGTGTTCAACAGGAATTAAACAAAATACTAATTTTCTCATACAGTAATAGGCACAGACTCAGCATAAATCATAAAACATTCTTGTCATATGGTGTCAAATCACCATGTTCATTCTGTATGGAAAGAATCTTCTTAATTAGATACGTACTGGTAGTCCTTGTTTTTGGTTAATTTGTTTATGTTGTTTCTATGGTAACCACAGATGATAACCAATTATAAGTTATGCCCAAATTGTTATTTATCAAATCTACATCCTTTTGGCTATAGTAGGTACAAAAATGAAGTCTGTAACATTTATGGTTAAAAAGATATTTTAAGTTTAATTTGTTTACTTACTTGTTTACTACATTAGATGAGCTATTTTTGAGGTAAACAAATTTAACTTACATTTTCTCGTAAATTGATTATCCAAAAGTTGGCAAAATTTCTTCTAAATATTGCATATTTCATATCGAATCAATTCCTGTAGTCTGTATGTGATGTGTATTTATTGTTTTCTGTATATAATAAAATTAAGGATTTATTGTTTACCTCTGTTTCCATGGTAACGGTGAATAAACGTCTGTAAAGTTGCTGCGCGGACTGGTCTATTACCGGTACATGTGTTTGTACATGTACATACATATCTGCTTTCAGTGAGTGACAAAAAAAACATTAAATACAAATCGTTTCACAGTAATTCCAGTTTCTATTTGTTTACCTTTTTGTTTAGATGTTTATCTGACCCAAATAAACAAAAGATGACCCAGATTTTACCAAGTTTGCCAAAGACATTTTATAAAAACAAAAGCACTTCTGGTGAAACTTTAAAAGTCTGTA